ATTCTATACCTTTTATGTTTCTATTTTTTTTCTTTTTCTTTTTTTTGAGTTTTCTGTGTGTGTGTGGAAGTGGGCAGAGGTGATCAGGTTTCTTTATTGTTCTTTCATTTTTTTAATGGAGGTAATGGAGGTACAGGACCTCATGCATGCTAGGCACATGCTCTACTACTGAGCTATACCCTCCCCAGTTTGTGAGTTTTTTAATAACAAAATAAAAAGGCCCAGAGCCCTCGCGTCTTGCGCCAACTCCCTGTCTGGGCATCCAGCAGGTGTCCAGGCTCACAAATGGAAGTTTCCTGCAGTTTCTGACAAAGGAGGCTCTCCCTGATTCCCAGGGCTGAGGCTGGGTGCCTCCTGCCTCCTCCCTGCCGCCCTGGGGAAGCAGCTCGTGGATGTCACCGCCCTCCTCAGGTGAGGCAACACTGCAGATGTGAAGGCCTTGTGAGGAGATCACTTCATGTTAAAACCTGAAGCTCCACTACAAGCATGTCCGTATGTTCAAAACCAGGAAACCATCTATTTTGGAGAACTGCTTTCTTTGCAAAGTGCCAGGAAGGACTTCACTAACACATTTTCTGACTTATGAAAAATGTATGGCTCTTAGTGGGAACTTCCAGTTGTGTTTAATGGCCCACGTGTTCATACACATGACCTTATTTTCCCACTATAATTGGGGTCTTATGAACGGGACAGTTCAATCCCCATCACATGTTATCAGTTTAAAGGCCTGGGTAAGGTGATGTGTCTAGGTCGTGTCTTAGATCAGGGTCGTGGCGTATTCTAGACCGAGCGGCCACTCTGCCCCGCCAAGGGGCCAGGAAAGCCAGCCGACACTCACTTGAGGGCGCTGAGGTCGAACTCATAGGCGTTGTCCCAGAAGAGCACCTTGCTGCGGTAGTCTCTGTCGGCGCTGCAGGGCACGAGGTGCAGGGCGGCCGAGGTCGGCCAGATGACCCCGCCCTCCTTCAGCCAGGCATCCCGGGCATACAGGATGGACTCAATCATGAACTCAAACTGCACGGGAGGAGACACACAGAAGACGTGGTGACTGAGAGCCCTGTCTGCCAACCCCTCGCTACATCACACCCTCAGGGGTCTGCACAGTTGTCACCCTCGAGAGCAACCACCGCCCGGTCCACTTGGAGGAGTGACCTCGCACCCCCCGGATGTGGTCACTGACTCCATCCCAGCCAGGGTTTATGTCCCGTGATCCACATCAGGATTCACCAGTGCGCACGGCCAAGGTCAGGGAAAGTGCCCTCTCGCCCACTGGTCACCCAGGAACCAGCTGCTCCCACACATTTAGGAGCTGGTGCCGCAGGGTCTTAACTCTCCAGCAACACGGCGTGGTCTGGGTGGTCCCAGAATCTTCACAGCCCTTTAAGTTGACTGCAGTCACTTTTTAAAAACACTAAACATCAAAGCAGGAGGCCACAGAGTAAGTGAGAAGAGCAGCTGAACGCCACTGCGTTCCTCCGGAAGGCAGGATGCGGGTGCCGACACCCCAGGGTGCACCAGGGAGCCAGGGGGCCAGAGACGCTGTGTCCTGTGGCAGATGGGAAGCCAGGGGGGTTGCTTTTCTTAAATAACTGCAGGCAGCTATTGTTACAGAAGAAATACTTGTTCGGTACGGAAAAACAGAGAAAACTCAGAAAAGCACAAACAAAGTAAAAATCATGAGTAAACCCAGCAGCAGAAGGCATCACTTTTTTCACCCAGCAGCTTATTCTGAGATGTGTGTCCGAACACCCTCACACACCCCCCTACATCCCCGCATACACCCATTCACACACACGTGTGAAAATTGCACAGCATGCAGCTTTTAATTTTAGTCTTCAAGTGATCATACAGTGAACCAGTCTGTGTAAGCTCGGTCAGGACCCAGAATGGCTCCATCACCCAAACACTCCTCACGGTGCCCTTTCTGGTCCAGGCCTCCCACCATCCGCCCTCTCTGGAAACCTCTCACCTGTCTGTACCCCATGGTGTCTCTCTGAGAGGGGCAAACAGATGAAAGCTTGGAAGGGGCTACTCTGTCCTAACAAGTAAAAAGCTGAACAAACTGAAATAACAACGACTCTTCCTAGATCCGAAAGAGAAATGAGGTCAAAGAGCAAACTGCTGTGCCCAGAACTGGAGAAATTGAGAGGCTAACACACATGGTCCCTGACTCACCAGGCTCAACTTGGGAGTTTTCGACTTTACGATGGTTCGATAGGCATTCAGCAGAAACCACGCTTTGAATTTTGAATTCTGCCCTTCTCCCGCCAGCCACACACAGTGACACCATGTGCCTACAGGCCACGGCTCTTCGCAGCCGGTCGTCAGGAGGATGAACAGCCGGCGACAACAACCCTCCAGCTCCTCCCTTCCACACAGCGTCAGCCAGCACTTCAGTACCAAACGGGCTTTGTGTTACGACTGCGCCCAGCCGTAGGCGGCGTGAGCGTTCCGAGCCCGCTTACGGCAGGCGAGGCGAGGCGGGGATGTTCGGTCGGTCAGATGTACTAAGCACATTTTCGACTCAGATGCGTGCAATTTACGACGGGTTTCTCAGGACGAGACCCTGTCGGAAGTTGAGGAAGTTCTGTACAGAGAACCACAACTCACTGGAGCAGAACCTCCCCTGGAACCAGAGTCCAGTGAGGAAACACGAACTGCTGGAGGCTCAGTGTGTAGAAGCCCGAGAGTCCGAAACTCCAGACGGGCCCAGCCACAGACCCCACGCTTCCGTGAGCTCCCCTCCTGGACTCCACCAGGGCCCCACAGTAAGTAGCAGAGAGAAGGCCCCTCGTGCTTCCACAGGTTAAAAAGGAACATTTTGAAACATGCCAGAACATTCTGTCCTTCTTAACAGGGTCTGCCCTCAGGAGAAATCGTTTAACCAGAGCCTAACTAGGGTGGGGAAAGACAGAGCCAACTCAAGCCCCTCAGATCCCACCTAAAAGGGGGAAAGAAACTGAGACGCACTTGCGAAGGTCACAGAGCAGAGGCCCAGGCTCCTCGAGCCCTGTGGCCTGGCGAGGCCTGGAGGACAACTCCCTCCCCCGCATCACTAAAGCCCGTCCACACTGATCCTGTGTCCAGTACATCATGCCTGGCCCACACACAAGAACGACCACACAGCCTCAAGGGCAAGTCACAGTCTGAGAGACTCAGCAAGGCTCCGAGCCAGACTCAGACAAGAAACGGCGGGCAACGTAAACAGAGAAATGAACATCCTTTCAAAGAGCCAGAAACAAGCGCTTGAGATCAAAAACAGCGTAACAGCAATGACGGGTGCCTCGATGGGCTCAGCGGCAGACTGGGCACAGGTGAGCAGCGAGTCTCTGAGCTTGAGCACATGACAACAGGAACCTCCAGGGCTGAAAAGCAAAGAGAACAAAGCCTAGAAAAATAGAACCAAATACTCAAGTACTGCAGGAAACTACAGAAGGTGTAACACACACAGTGGCGGTACCAGGAGAACAAGAGGGAGCAACAGAAGGAGCACCAGAGACAATACTGACTGAGAACTGCCCCCAAGTGACTGTCCAACACCGACCCGCAGACCCAGGAACGCAGAGCACACCAAGAAGGGTCCACGCTAAAAAGAAAGTACAACAAGCAGGCCACTTTCAAACGACAGGGACTCAGAGGATCAAGGGCAAACCCGGAAGAAGCTGGAGGAAAGGCACCTCAGCTACGGAGGAACAAAGATAAAACCCCATCTGAGTTCTCAGAAAACACACAAGCAAGAAGAGAGCGGGCTGATACACTGAGGGGGCTGAGAGGAAAAACTCACCAATCTAGAATTCTGCACCCTGTGAAACTATCCTTCAAAAATGAATGAAATAAAGACTTTCTCAGACAAACAAAAATTGAGGGAATGTGTTGCCAGTAGGCCTGCCTTGCAATAAATGCTAAAAGAGGCTCTTCAGAGAGAAGGAGAACGACCTAAGGCAGACCTCACCTCACTGCACCTCGCAGAAGCTGCGCTTTGTTCAAAGGGAAGGTCTGGGGCAACGCGACATCGAAAAAGTCTTCTGGCGCCATCTTCCAACAGCCTTTGCTCACTTTATGTCTCTGTGTCACATTCTGGTAATTCTCCCAATGTTTCAAGCGTTCATTATTATTGTATTTGTTATAGCAATCTGTGGTCAATGATCTCCATTTGTTTTTTTAATTATTTCACTGAAGTTCTGAAGTCCAAAATGGGTCAGCACCATTGCACTCCTTCTGGAGGCTCCAGAGAAGAATCTGTTTCCTCGCCTTCTTTACACAAGTTTCGAATGTTACACTCCATTTACAGTTACTACAAAATACTGCCTATATCCTCCAAACAACAATCTTTGATGTTACTGCTGCAAAAAGATTACAATTTGCTGAAAGCTCAGATGATGGTTAGCATTTTTTAGCAATAAGGTATATGCTAATTAATGTATGTACATTGTTATTTTAGACATAATGCTATTGCACACTTAACAGACTATAGTATAGTGTAAATATAACCTTCATATGCCCTAGGAAACAAAAAAATTCTTGTGACTTGCTTTATTGTGACATTCGCTTTACTGTGGTTGTCTGGAACTGAACCCACAATATATCTCCAAGGTCTGAGGTCTGCCTGTAGATCAGAAACACAGATCTAAATAAAGATAGGTACCGAGAAAGGAATGAAAGATTAAAGATAAAGTTAAAACTTTTCATTCTCTTATCCTTAATTAATCTAATAATTTGTGCAAAATAGCAGCAACTCAGTATTTGACCATATGCGCTTATGTATGTGTATACAGCTGTGCTTACACATTATAAAAGCAATGGCAATGACGACACAGGGACAGGAGGGGCTCAGGATTATTCTGTTATCAGAAACCACACTACCATGAAGCATTACAGTGTTCAAAGCAGATCTGGATCAGCTGCAAACGTGTGTTACAAACTGTGGGGCAACCACTTTAAAAAGCAAAAAGGAAGAAGTAAAACCAATACACTAAGAAAGAAGAGAAAACAGAGTCATACAAAATGCTCAATTAAAACCTCAAAAAGCAGAGCTTTTCCTCTAAGATCAGGAATAAGACAAGGATGCACACCCTCACCATTTTTATTTAACATAGCAATAAAGTCCCATCCAGAGCTATGAGGCAAGAAAAGGAACCAAATTGGAAAAGGCAACTAAACTGGAAAAGAAGAAGTAAATATGTCTCCATCTGAAGATGACATGGTAATACATAGAGAAAACCCTACACACGCCACCAAAAAATTGTTAGAACTGATAAAAGAATTCAGTGCAGCTGCAGGATACAAAACCAACATACAAAAATCAGTTGCATTTCTATACACTAACACCAAACTATCAGAAAGAGAAATTAAGAAGACAATCCCATTAACCTAATCAAACTTATTCATAAGTTTTTGCACAGCAAAGGAAACCATACACAAACAACAACAACAAAAAAGACAATCTACAGAATTGGAGAAAATATATGCAAACAATGCAACTGACAAAGGTGTAACTTCCAAAATATAAAAACAGTTTGTACAACTCAATATCAACAAACAACCCAATCAAAAAATAGTCATAAAACCTATAGACATTTCTCCAAAGACACACAGATGGCCAACAGGCACACAAAAAGATGCTCAACATTGGTAATTGATGGAGAAATGTAAATCAAAATTATAATGAGGTTATCACCTCACATTGGTCAGAATGGCCATCCATCAATAAAAAGTCTACAAATAATAAATGCTGAAGAAGGTGTGGAGAAAAGGGAGCCCTCCTACACTGTTCGTAGGAATGTAAATTGGTGCAGCCACTGTGGAAAACAGTATGGAGGTAACCTAGAAACTAAAAATTGAGTCATCACATCATCCAACAATCCCACTCCTGGACATACATCTGAAAAAGATGAAAACTCTAATTTGAGACAATACATGCACCCCAATGTTCATAACAGCACTATTTACAATAGCCAAGATATGGAAGGAACCTAAGTGTCCATCAACAGATGACTGGACAAAGAAGATGTGGT